ATCACGTCTCCTTCTGTTATTTTTCCATATTAAAGCTGAACACGACTCGTAAATGGACTTTTGCGAGAAGCGCTGACTTTTTCAGTCGACGGCTTACTTTGACATTTAAACCTGCGTTATATACGGGGGTACGGAATTGATAATAGATAAGAAAACATTAATAGTGGTTATAGGTATAGTGTTAGGGGCGCATATTTGATTTACTAGTATACATCTACACAAGAGATGATGGGAGGCAGAATAACATAACTTAAAATATGTTATTCGTGAGGGGTAGTATCTCTTTTCAGTCTCATTTGCTGAATGAATTAAATAAGGAAGAAAAAAACATTTCGAAAGTAAAACTTGACAGGAGTTGGTCAAGGGGGAAAGGGAGGGGGTTGAGGATAGAGTGGTTGCAGTTCCCTTCCTAGACAACGTAATCTGTGCTTTGAAACTGTCCATTATTACCTTTTAATTAAAGCTAAATATTTATATGGCAAAAGAGCCTCCGTATATTGTCCTAGTGTAAAAGTAAGCCGTCGACTGTTAAAGTCAGCGCTTCTCGCAAAAGTCCAGTAGGCATACGCAATTTTCGATATTACTATCTACTATATCAGCACCGGAGTATACTCTTCGTATTCGTTACACCTGACTGCTTTTTTGTCACGGGCATCGGCGTAGAAAGACGACTCGTGTTCGTGCTGGTTATCTTGCATTACCTTTATTTACATTTTATTGCAGTAACGTGTATTTGGGTTTGTTTGTATACTGCACTGACCTGTGCTACTGTTGTAAGTTTCTTTCGTACATGTATTTTATTCTCCTGTATTTTGATTAGAAGTACACAGTTATTTTTTGTCGCTAGCAAGTGCTGTATAGCATACGTCCGTCTACGCGGCTAGGATAAGGCTGTCCGTAAAATATCAAACTGTTCCAACTGTGTAACTTCTCTGAGCTACCTAGATATGACGTCATAATAGCAAATGACGTCAAGTCACTGCATACTTGAGCTGACATATGACGGGGAAAGTGTCGTATCTTTTACATTTCTTCACATGACATGTAAAGATTTTTTAGCGTTATTGTTTGATTAAAATGTCTGGATTGTTCTTTAAGCTTAAATGTGCTGTTATGATGCTGAGCATTTGGAATCTAATATATTTATTCCTTTAACTTGTCCGATTTACATATTTTCAAACAATAACAAAAAATTGACTGTGAAACTCTCCCCCTTACACGTTCGTGGACAGATTTAGAATCTATAAACCGTGTATATATTTGACTGGCACAAGTGATTAATAAGGATAAATTGAAGATATTCTGTGTGAATCTACTAGAGAAGTATGTCCTCTAACTGAATTTTGCTGGGGGGTTGTATGTAATTTATCATACTTTGAATAAATTACGATAAAGAGTGGAAAATGCCTCCTATTATGTGGGTAAGTTGAATTTCTCGTGGAATATTTTCTCAACAAGTAAAATTCAGACCTGCCCCCAGCACTTTATATGTACCAAAGATCACGATGAATTGACTTATGTGACAAATCTTTCTCAATAATGTTGTTTTGCACTTGTGCCGAGGCGATTTTTTTTGCAACATTTAGGAATTTATGTGTCTGTCACGTGATCAACAAAGTCATGTGATATCAAAAAATGCATTATTATAACACCTGATTACACTGTCATCAAAAGTTGACTGCAAATTCATACATAGATTACAAATTGAAAATAAAATTAGCTCCAAATAAAATGTATATGTTAATGCATATTAAGCCTTCGGACTGCCTTAACACAGCTGCGTACATCGATGACGATTGATTACACTGAACAGTGACTAAGTGAAGCGGCTTTATATAGAGGCCCTCAGATACAGCCAGAGACCAATCGAATATGGCGGACACATTCCTTTTACGAATCGTGTTAAGCTTTAAATAGGCCTGAATATTGATAAAGGACATATGATACAGTTTTTGTATAATTCATAAAAAAAAAGTCATGTTTGTATAAGTGAAATGAGTTTAACTGTATATATCTTAATTTTTCACAATAATGTCCAATAAAGTGAAAAAAAAAATTGTATCGATATATGCATGTAAGGATGACTGCAAAAAGGTAGAATTTTGAACATCTTATAATGATTACGATTTCTTAATATTTTAGAAATATGATATTTGCTTATTTTACAATCAAAATAGGTCTATATTTAAATATTTAGGCATCTATTTTTGTATGTATCTTCTTTTCCTAATTTTACTTGATTTAGATTTGAAGTTCGTTATCTCTTTCAATTTGCGCGACCTGACAAGCATGTAGTCTCAGAAAGAAATATTAAAAAAAGATAAAACTTGTTTTACACGTTAAAGTTAAAAAAAATATCAAACATTCACGACTTTAATAGAAATACCATTATTCTTTTTTCAATCAACGTAGCACTGGGACGCTGTTTGCTAATTGAAAAGATTTAACATATGGGCAAAATTGATCGAATTGTGGGATAATTTCAATATTTATTAACTTCCAATTTCGTATTAAAAAATGACGAGACTGAAGCTCAACTGATGTGTACCTGATGTATAGTATAGTATACTTGTGTACTAAGTCTTATTGACATTGGACCAAACCAGTAGGAATAGGAGAGTTTTGAAAGAATTTTAAATAAACTTCTATTTTTAGTAAACGTGTCAACACTGTTTGATGAAATCAAAATCAGATTGACAGAATAATGTATCTTAGAATAGTGTACTTGCGTATCAAGGCCTACCCAAATTAGACCAAAACTGTAGGAGGAGTAGCATTTTGAAGGAATTTCCAGAAAAATGTTTTTTAGTTAACATGACAACACCTTTTGTCGAAATGAAAAACCAATACTCAGAAGTATGTATCCTGGTAAGTGTACAAAATCTGATGGAAATTAAAGAGCCAATACTGTAGGAGGACTAGCGTTTTGAAAGATTTTCTTTTAGAAATTTCTTGTTATGTTTGGAACAAAACTAAAGGAGGATAAGGTTTTTTTTAAATGTTTATGGACAAACATCATGCTTTCTCATCCAAAAACTAAGAATTAAAAGCGTAGGTACGACTTCTAAGGAGACTATGCGCAAAACATTAAGGCCAGATAAATCCATGAAATCACTACATATAATTTTTGTTTGAAATTAAATTTATATTGCGTAAAAATCTCTTACTTCTTTCGAGGGACAGACCTTTACAGGTTATAAGAAATAGGGTTTAAACGTTGAAACTTAATTTACTCAATATTTTCATAAAACAGCCCTTCTTTTACATCTACTTTATTGCATTTTTTTACTTGCCTTGAGAGAATTTTTCCGGGTGGGGGGAAGGAGGGGTTAGAGTTCTTTTTTAAAAGGGTATAATTAGAACTTTTAAATGTAAAAAAAAATCGAGTTTCCTCATTCATTATTGCTTCAAATTTGAGGTAAATTATTTGTTACCTTTTTTTCTTCCTGGGGATAAAAACACTGTTTGGCATAACAAAAAATTGTTTTTTAATTATTCTTATTTCATCAGTTATTTTCTGTAAACAAAATGAATAAATAAATAAGGCATCAAAATAACTTTCGAACTATAGCATCTCAAATAAATTTTATTTGTATACCATCGTTTATGAAAACTTTAAGTAATTTTCCAGTAAATAATCCCTATTCCATCTGATTGATTGATTTTATGTTGTCTTACTTCCCATTCGAGAATTTTTCACTCATATATAGACGTCACCATTTACCAGTGAAGGGCTTCAAATTTATACCTTTACTCTGCACTCAGGGCCATTGAGCAGTGAGGATTCTTTATCGTGCCACCGTCTGTCGTGACACGGGGCCTTGGTTTTTAAGGTCTCATACGAAAGACCTGCAACTTTCACGTCATAGTGCCGAAGGCTTGGAATAGTTGCTACCTATTTTTATCGACTTAGGTCAGTCGCGGCAGAGGTTCGAACCCACGACCTTCCAATCACGGAGCGAGGTCTAATAATTTGAACAAAATGCTGATGGTATGGTATGTGGATGTACTGAAAACTTTACATTTATCGTGCTTTCCTTCTATTCTTCTTTACAATGTGGATTACTGTTTATTCGTTTTTTTTTTCTTTTTTCTAAATTCACAATAAAAGCAGAAAGGAATACCTCGATCTTTTTCGTGAAAAGGGTGGTAAAATTAAATGCCTTCCAAATGCACACGATCAGCGTAAAATCTGATAACGCAAAACCTGATAAACGCCATATACGATACGATAAACGGAAAACCTGATAAGATACACGCACGATACGATAGGAAACACACACGATAGGACATGATAGCATTGCCAAGAAAAACGTTGCGGGTACTGTAATTCTTAGTTCATAAAGTTAATCAAGTTGACTCTCGACTTTTCCTCTATATGAAATATTGGGATAACGAACAGTATTCAAGCTCTAAAGTCCATTCAAACAATTCAATATCCATTATTCAATCTAAAATGTCGTGCTGAAGGTCAGACTTTGCAAGCATACCTCTTAAACTGTGAACTGAATATAGACATTTTCCGCTCTTTTTGCCACCCCCTTCCCTTTTTCCCTAAGTTAGATGTGTGAACAAGCAAATATTTTCTCAGAGAATGTAATATCCTACAGTCGTCTTATCAAATAATTCTTTTACGCATGGATTAGAAAGATAGAGATCCAATGCATTATTTATTAAATTGCAAATCAAATGTTAAGACATATTTTTTTCATTGCAAGGTTTATATTCGGCCACATAAAGAAACTATATGTATTTCTTTTATCGATACCCAAACTACAGATGTGTATTCACTGATACAAGTAGATAGATAATACCAAAAAGTGTTTTATTTTTAATCTTCAACGCATTTCAAATTTACAAGAAAATATTTATGTAGTCACCTATTAAGTAAATATTTTCCCGAAACTTCCGAAATTCAGAATGTATTTCGTATCAATAGTTATACATTTTTGTATCATTAAAATCTCGTCTGTTATTTCAAAAAGTTGATTAAAACGTACCTGATTTTGGATAGCCAATAACAAAAACGTCATCTTTCCTTGTAGGTAAATTTACAATATCTGCAATTCGTTTTCGGGCGTCAGTTAGGGTTTGAAATGACGAAAATGGTGGAACTAGCAGTCCGTCCACTCTTAACTTTTGCTTTGTTGTCATCATAAAATCATAAACTGTTTCATCAAAGTAACATGCAAAACTGAAGTTAAATTGATCCACTCTTCTCTCACCTTTTCAGTCCAGACGTGCTTAATTGCTGAAACAACAAGTTTTAGGCAGTTCCAAGGTTTTGTTAACAACAAAACTTAATCGTTCTGCACAATTATTTAGGTCAAAAAGTATTACGTAATTCTGTAGGCATACTTTTTCCCAACTGGAAATAATTGATGCAATGTCCCAAATTTTCACGTTGCACTTAAAGTGCAGTTAAAACACACAATGGCAAATCCAAAAAATCTGCGTAATTTTATACCCGCGGATTGAAGAATTGGCCCCATGGAAAAATTACGTTTTACAGTGCACCTTTCGTAATGAATAACGTTTAAAACAAAATAAAAATGAAAAAGCATTCAACTATAAAACTATTAAGCTGCTTCGATCAATAATCCATTGTCTTTGATTCTTTTCTCCCTAATAAATGCAGCACTTATTTTCAAATCCATAAATGTCTGGATCGATCTCCAAATTCCAAGTTAAAAGTTGAGAAATAACAGTCACTGCTTCTTAAAAGAATGAGAGAGAGAGCACCCTTTAAAAATTTAACAATAGCACTCGTACTATTTATTGTTTCATCAAATGTTGCATACTTCGCAGCAAAAAAAGCTCTCTCACCTTGAAAGATATTCAAATTTTTGTAGCATGAATCCATTACAGCTGTCTAATAAATTTTCTTATTTGCGTAAACATGAAAGGTGATTTAAACTAGATTTGTGTCTTTTTCTAGTGCATATTGAAATATTTGCAGAAGCCTAACGAATTTTAACCTTTGCTTTTGTTTATTCTAGCTTTAAATAAGCTCACTAAATATCAAAGATGAAGCTAGAGTTAAGTGATTAAATATTTACCTCAGGATCAGTGTAGTTAACTTCTAGCATGTTAGAATATCACCCCCCCCCCTTTATAATTAATTCCCTGTCCAAGAAAATTGTTCAGTATTTGTGCTATATTAGTGATCGGATAACAAACACATTTTCCAATTCTCTTTTGTAGAGTTTTTCAAAATGTATACTGCTAAATTGTAACAATGAATCTTTATTGTACATAAAAATGAAATGTTGTTTTTAAAAAGTATTTGTTGGTACATAAGTGATTTTGTCAGAATTGGTTCTAATATTTTTTAAAAAGTTTTAAATGTGTGTTGTTTTTTTTTGATAATCAGAAATAATACAGATTATTTACGTCTGTTTATATGGTTGATAACCTAAATTTTAGCAAACAATGTTTCCTTTTTATACATTTTTTTCTTCATTTTACTCAGTGCATGTGTCGCAAAAATGCCACACACAACTACAATTTAAGCTTCCAAATTATTCCATATGATATATTGTTAGAATTGGTTATAAGGGAATAATTAAGCATCCCCTACAAGTTAAATGTCCGGAAAAATTTGATAAATATACAAAGTCCTTCGAAAGTTGTTAAAACAATTTACTCCTATTGTATTGTCAATTTTGAATCCTTCATTTCTTCATTGAAGACCTGATCAAACTTGTTTTTCTGTTCCTCAGTAAACATCGATTTCCAATCACCAACCTCTCCTAAAGTATGGATGCCAAAATTCAGATCATTTATTTATTATACAAAATTTTATACTTTTTTTAAATGGATTCTTTTCTCGAAAGATATTTCATATTAGATTTAGAAAACTTTAAGTTTTAACCTTTTCTGTAGATAAAGTTCCATATTGAATCCTTTTCTCTTTCTTTTACTTTCGGTAATGGTACATTCATCATAAACAGCCTAAAGAAATTTAGGATCAGACGAGGTTCCGAGAAAATTGGATATCTGTCGCATCGTCTCCATCCCATTCTTAATTAAACATTAAAACAACATAGGTCCAGTATCTTTTAATTAAAGAAAAAGTGGCATTAATTACAACAGAATGCCTGGGGATGTTAATACAAAACATCAATTGTTGAACATACTTTCTTAAGATCTTCATAATAGACAATCAGTATCTTTTCGGGATTTGTCGTGCTGCTTCTTCCCACTCTTTCTCGTATTCAAACCAACTTCCATAGTAACAGTCTGTTTAAAATCAAACTTTAGATGGATATTTCTAAGAAAGAATGTATATGACACGGAGCTCTGTTAAGGGGTACTGCGAAGAAATCAACGGAAAATGAACGTGCATAAATACATACCTTTTTTAAACTGAATTTATTTTTATAAAGCTACTATATCATCACATGACTTTAATATTAATTGAAATAACATTGTTTACGCCCCCCCCCTCCTGTATTGAATTTGCTTTGGTCACGTTATTTGACAGCCACGTGATAAATGTATTTAATGTGTACTATATGTAGGTCATGAACAAATTTCAATATCGCAAGGGTATTCAATAGTTAAAATTAAAAATTTAAGTAATAATTTGTTTCTACACTGTACATATCTTGTTGTTTATGGAAAATGCTGCTGCTTTAAATAGAATTTGCATTTTATTAGTTTAAATTTCAAGCTCTAGTCGAATATGTGTGACCTTTACCAAGTATTTTATGTATTTATTAAGTAATACTCTCGATTTCAGGAAAGCAGCAGCACTTTTCAAGTTAAGGAATATGACCGTTATGTATATTTAAAAAATAGTCAAGATTTATTAATTGTATGCCCTTGAAAAAAGACGATTAATGAAGCAGTCGGCGTGAAACATGCAAAAATTGTATCAAAGACACGGTACAATTAGTTCAATACATTCTCTCGATAGTTTTTAAATAATGTCAGTAAATAAAGGTTTCAGATTTGTATTAATGGTCTAACTAACATTTGCGAATAATATTCTCTTTAATAATAAAAGGTATTTTTCGCTGTGAAAAAATTACTTGATTTGACTCTCACTGTACAAAAGTGCGTCAAATTTTACGATGATGACGTCATATCGACAAGTGCATTGCGATCAGTGACTTGTAAATATCTTGCTATGTGGGATTTAACTTGCAATAATACCACCTATACGAGCCTGGTCTCGGATAAGTGAGTTTATTTCAGTAACCCTAGTAATATTTATCTATTCCGGATAAGTTACGTACATTCGGATAAATATAAATTTTCACCCTTAGTCACAAGCTATCATTCCGGATAATTTAGGTCCATTTGTATATAGTCTAATAATAAGTTCTTTTCTACCTCCTTTCTAGAAGAATCAATTAAACGGTAAGGTCATGGAAAATTTTTGGGAGTTAAATTGTGGCAATGTTTTAAATTTTTTAAATCAAATAAGTTTGATTTTTAGTATAATTATTGAGGTTTGTAGTTTCAAAGCAAATTAGACGTATCGATGGCGAAGTTTGACTTTGGATTTGGCCTGATTGGACTTTTTCGTAAATTGAATTGATTTTACGCGATGTTGTAATTTGTGAGACTTTACAGGTAACAGGAATATATTAAGATCAGTTTGGGGGTCAAATGATTGTTTAACTTGAGTTATTATTTTTAGGAGCGAAATGTTAAACTTCGAGTCCATCATAGCTATAACGGGGGGGGGGGGGATAATTTCATAAAACACGGAATATTCTCAGAAGCTGGGCTTACTAGAAGGATTTTAGTTTGTTTTCTACATAGATTTATCGTGCTCGAAGGAGGTATATTGATTCGCATTTTACAAAATGTAATCGTCGTTAAATTGGAGAAAGCATTCACGAGAATTTGTGCACTTTCACTTTTCAAGTAATCAAAGTACTGTGTGTACTGAGAGGAGGTTTATTAAATTGTGTGTTATGCTCTATTTGCAGACTTGTATCATTTCCGTTGGTCTTTTGAAAAGGTTTGGAGCAGAACTGTTTGTCATCTTTTTTTTTTTTTTTTTTTTTTTTTTTTTTTTAAGAAAACAAAAAGGTGTAAGGTTTTATGGATGATATTGTATGAACTGATTTTCCTATTACATAATGGGATGGGAGTTAACTTGTATATTATGTTACACAACATATGGGAGCTCATTTGGTCCACATGGTCAATTTCTGCATAAAAATCCAACTAATGAAAGTAAAATCACAGTTTATTGAAATAGGATGAGAACATTTCTTATTAATTTTGCAAGCATTTGTCTCACAGTGAGCAGTCAAACTGCAGCAAAGCTGTGGAAAAGTATTCTTCATATGCATTAGAATAGGTAGGCAAATTTGCAGGGTTCAGGCACAAGCAAGGAGCAAATTATATTGGTACAAAAGGCAGTAAGTACATAAAAAACCTTAAGTAATTGATAGTGATTACAGATGTATGTTACCATGATTATTTATTTTCAGGTACATTACCAAAAACAGGTCAACATTTTTAATTTTATTTTTTTTAAGACAGCTTTATCAGTGAGTCAACAGCTGCAATGGACACAACATTCTTTTCCATCAAAGCATGACCTTATCACTTCCCCAGTAATTCATTAGAATAGTAATTAAAGATTTGCAAAAAAGAAACAAGTAGGAAATGTTGCAGTTGTGCTAATACTAGATATAAAAGTGGAATTGGCAAATGATATAGATCCTAATCCAGCTTCAATTAATCGCAGCTATTAGATTACATTCTAGGGAAAAGTATAATTTGGTTAAGCGAGTCTTTGTGTGAAGGGGGGGGGGCATATTTCAAATAAACTGGTAATTTTTTTAAAAAAGATGGTCAAAATCAAATTGGTTCCTCGTCTCCGTCGGATGGACTAGTTCTGATATTTAGTTAAGCTATTAGAGCACTGTGATAGGCAGATTAATAAAAGTGATTGGTCAGGAGTCTCACAAGGATAAGCAGCACCCAGTACTTGCTCCGTATGTTGCTTATCAGGCTATCTTTGAATGGATAGTCTGCTAATGTGTTCGACGAGACGGGGAAACAAAGCTTGTCAAATAATCAGTTAAATTATATATGAATCAATTATTATTATTATTTAAAGATTTAATAGGTTGATATGAAATTGCAATATTGAATTTACTAGTACATAAGAAAAGTCAAAACCAAGGAGTTAATAATGTGTTGTCAAAACAATATTGATCCGTTTATTTAAGGTACACTGACATTCAATTTTAAGCTAATCTGGTAAGGGATATCCAAGATATCTCCAGAAGTATGCCTTATAAAGTATACCAGTTTTTTTTCCACCGCACATACCCATGGACAAAGAGTTGCAACGTACTCAAGATTTGTTTTCTCGGATAATTTATTGTGTTTATCTATTTTATTGCACACCTATGTCAGTGTCTAATGGGGATTTAAGCCTTGAAACTAATTTTATCATTCTGTTTAATTTTTACCAAATACATGTATAATTGTGTGTGATACACAATGGTCCACGATTATACCTTAAATTTCTCAGAGATAAAACTACTCCCTTACAGATATTTTTTGAATGCTCAGAACACTTAGTATCGCAATTACCTCGAATTGCATAACTTACTGCGGCTGTTTTGCAATAAAGTCAAGAAACTTATAAATCTCCATTCATTTTCGGGGCATAACATGTTGTTTACATATATTGTTTACGCTAGTGACAATTGAATGATACGAACAATAAGTAT